GTTTAGAGCGTTTGTCTAGTAAGTGTTGAAGCAGTCGGAAACGTCGAGCAATTTCTAGTTGTTTCAGTCTAGTATGTGGGTTCCAAGTAAGACGTTTGTCCAAGTGGAGTCCTAGATTTGAAAATGAATTTTAATATAATCACTGAATGAAAATATGAAATCGAGTAGAACTTAAACGTAAGGTTGAATATGTGTGTTATCGTAACCTTTTTTTTTTTTTTTGACGGTTTCTTAAACTTATTCTCTATTTTTTTCCGTTTTTTTTATCGTTAAGTACGTTTACCTTAAATTTCATCTAAGTTGATGACATGAGAATTTTTATGAAATACAAAAATGTTTTGAAATATGAATAATAATTTAAATAATATATATCACGGGTTTTTTTTTAAGAGCATAGGCTTTCTCCGATAAAGATTAATATTCAGGGAAAACTCAAGATTATATAATTGATAAGCTTTAATAATTTCTTATCAGATAAAAAGAAGAAAAGAATAGAAGAAGTTATTTTTTTAAATATTTATTTATTGAATATTACAACAATCTGTCACATGGACTCTAGTTATAGTGAGGTAGGATAACATTCACACTATATGTACAAAAATATAAAATAAATAGAACAAAATAACAATAAATAATAATCAAAAATTATATGCAATAAATAAAATAAAACAACCTAAAAATAAGAAAATTAAAACTAAGCAAAAAACACATGCACATCTAATACACTATTTACAATCAGGCGAGGGAACTCCACGAGAAAACACTGCGCTACTATCTCAACCGCCTCACTGGTACTAAAGCCAGAGGAGAATGATCGAGAGCACTTTAGCCACTTACACTCATGTCTAGTGGAGAAGCTGGCCATTGCCAAGACTCCAAAGGCATATTTACAAAAGATCGCGAGGCCACTGCCGTTTCAACCTTCTTGGAGGTTTATAGGGATGGGTGGTGCTTGATAGGTATTGTGCAAGAGGATTTGGATGATACATAAGGTTCTGGTGAGATTTGGAGAATTTTTCTAGGATAAGAACTAGGACACATTGGATGTTGAGGTCATGATGTAGGGTTTTGTTGGTTACATAGAAAGGAGCATCGACTATTCTTAGAAGGACTTTTGATTGGAAGGATAGGATGCGCTTGATGTTACAAAAATTTTGCTGTTCCCTACAGTTCTAGTCCATAAGTCCAAATAGGTTTCAGTATTGTCTTTTAGATCAGTAACTTGTTTTCAATGGAAAGTTTAGATTTTCTGTTTAGTAGTCGGTATAGTTGGTCTTTTTTAAGTCTAGTATGAGGGTTCCCAGGTTAGTCATCGGTCTAAGAGAAAGCCGAGGTACCGAACTGTATCTGAGAAAGGAAGCTAGATGGTGTTAAAATAAAATGGTGGACAGGATTTATGACAAAGGGTGAAGGTTATGTGTTTACATATGGATCTTAAAGCTCCATTTCTTACACCAGTGTTCAATTAGGGCGAGGTGTATTTTTAGGTTTAATGATGCTGTTTTAGGATCTGAGTTAGTTAGCAGAAGAAATTATTAAAAGAAATATATTTTTTAAATATTCTTCCCCTTATCTTATGTAAGGTATAAGGAACGTCCTTATCTTGAGATTGGATGAAAATCTGGCTTAACTGCGTTCGTGGATACATTTCATCAGGTCTTTTCCTTTTAATGGTATCAAGAAATTTCGAAAATGATCAGTTTGTGAAGAGACAGTAGAATTGTAAAGAAAAAAACAATAAAAATTCAAGAATTAAAAAAAAAGCTTAATTCCCTTGGTCTCTGAAATTTTCATATATCTATCAGACACAATCCATATAAAGGTACACAATATATATGAAGTTCTCAATGGTTCATGAGGTTCAGGCGGTAAATATTCAACCATTTTTTGGCAAAGTTTAAAGACTTTATTTTACTCATAGTTAACCAGACTTTAGTATTCAAAACAACTTTAGAATAGTTTAGAAAATAATTATTAAATAAAGAAATTAAAAACAAATTAATTATTAAAATATAAAAACCAGGTAAATTAAGTTCAAAAGGAACTAGTAACTAAATTGTTTTTAATGGTGTATTACAGCTGAACATTTTTTGGAGCAATACTAAGTGTGAATGAATAGAGTAAGTGTAAATACGGTTGTTTACACTTTGTTTCTTAAATATGTAAATAAAAATATTTAGACCAATCTCCCTATAATAATGGAATTTTTAATTTATTGCACGAGATCGATATTATTGACCAAAGAGCAATAATAACTGATTATAATGTGATAAAATGTTACTAGCATCAGTTTTAAAATATTAAATTAAATTAAAACATTTTAACTTTATTTATGTATTAAATGGTTAAATGGTTATTTAAATTATGTATATTATGCCGGAATAGAGGGATCATATTGTTCTGTTATACGTTCATCATCATAACAAGCTAGTTTTTCAGTCTTAAGAATCTTATTAACAGATGGAACCGAAGGGATAAAGGATTTAAGGACAGAGACTGAGGGACCGGAAGAGATTGGTCTCTTCTTACACTGGAAATCAAGGAAATTCCAAGGGTTCTTTGAGGCAAGAAAGATTGCTGTGAAGACCATACCGTAATTTGGGTCTTTACTTTCGGATAAAAGTTAAAGGTTTCGGATGTGCTATCTCTTGCAGTGATTCTCATCACCAACTCCTTATACAGTTTTAAATCAGAGTGATATTTAATATTACCGTTATATATAATTTAGGTTCAACCAGTTTGATTTTGGTTAGAAATGCATTTAAAAATAGGCTTAAATCAATTCTTAGAATATATAAATAACGCTTATATGGTCTGTGAAATACGCTTCCCGGTATCTCCCCGATACATTTTTTTTTTTTTCATTTTGTAGCATTTTTTATATTATTTAAAGTGATGTAGGTCAAATTTTGCGCAGCTTTACGCTAAGCCCAGTTTTTTAAAAATTATTTTAGAAAACATAAACTAAAGTTTTCGAATCAATTTTTTTTTATTTCTCAATGATATTTACAACTGTATTAAATAAATACATCTAGTAAATTTGAACATATGGATATAATGACGTGAAAACACTTGCTAAGTAACTACCCAATGTTAGCACCCTAATGATATGTCTACATTAGGAGATCACGGGGCCATCTTCTTTTCAGACGCCTAGGAGGGTTATCAGGATTTGAAGAGGAAGCAAGGTTAGAAACGTGGGCCAGATCTGAAACATTAAGGTCATTATGGATGGTTTTATTTGTAACAAAGTAGGGAGCATTGAGGATTTTACGAAGGATTTTGGATTGTAAGGATTGGATACGAGAGGAATTCGATGGTTTAGTGGAGCCCCATAGCTCAATTCCGTAAGTCCAAATAGGCCTTATTATAGTTATGTATATGAGTCTAATTTTTTTAATTATTATTAAAAAGTTATGAATTATGTAATATAATTTATAAAAGTTAGGAAGACAATGTTGCCCTATTTACATAAAAAATAAATGAGCTTTAAAAAAATGCTCGAATGATTTTTTTTTTTTAAGAAATGTGTCATAGATGAAGCATATTTTCATATACGGTCACAAGGATACCGAATAATATTTTTTTGGTTACTTCGAAAACTAATGAGTGGAAAGTAGAGGATAATATATAGTAGGGGTGTCCAGAAGGGGTCGCAAGTTGCGCAACAAAATTTTAAGGCTGACATTTTTATGGAGTTATGGATTTTTCAGTGCATAGTTCAGAGATTTTTCCCATCAAGCAATTAATAGAAGAAGCTATAGAAGATTGACATAATGATTGACGTAAATATCGAGAACACAAAATAAGTCCAGCTAAGCCTCAAACAAGAACCTTCTTAATATGCTTTTAGTTAGTTCTGACCCTATAATTAACGGTTTTCGAACAAAGAATAAAAAAAACATTTAACATCTCCGAACTTTGAAATACTTTCCTTTTTAGAACCAGAAGCACTTAGTTCATCACTATCTGAATTATCGCTGATAATTCCGACTTCAGTCAGAGAATATCTTGCCTCCGGATGTCGATACTGAGGATGAGGAAATAAATTAAATTAATTTTTACACAATGTTTCTCTTTTGTTTATGTTAATGTTATTTTTTCTCTGGAAATACATATATTTTTTGCCATAAATTAATGTTACATTATGTAGTTTAAACCATAAAAGTCTTATTTTTTATTTATTGGTAACGAATACATGATTTACAAACGAAAATCATGGTAATTATTTATAATAATATTTTAATACTATTTTAGAAAATACATATATTTTCACCATAAATTGATGTCATATTAAGTAATTTTAACCATTTTTTTTTTTATCCATTTGTGCCGAATAAGTGATTTCCAATCGAAAATCATGGTAATTATTTATAATAATATTTTTTTACTATTTTTGAAAGTTTTAGAAAATACATATATTTTCACCATAAATTAATGTCATATTAAGTAATTTTAACCATAATTTTTTTTTTATTCATTTGTGACAAATAAGTGATTTCCAATCGAAAATTATGGTCATCATGTATAGGAAATTTTTTTTTCACTAATTAAAAAAAATCAGAAAATATTTTTTATTTTTACCATAAATGTATGTTATATTAAATAAATTTAAACCATAAAAATCTTATTTATATTTATTTGAGAAAAATACATGATTTATAGTCCTTCTAGATCGGCCATCGGCCCCACTGTGAGCCCGTGGCACGTTCTGAACTTAAAGGAAAAAAAAAGGCTAAAATTGATAGTATCTGTATACACTGATTGGGATATATAAATGTATATGGTACAATAATATGTATACAAATAAATATGGATATGTATACAAATAAATAGTCGATTCTACGATTGGTTCACCCATGAAATGCGAACCAATTTTCAGTACCGCTGTTGGAGAAGAAAATTTAGCTAAAACGACTTTGCCATTAGGTAACACGGATCATTCGCCTTTGAATGTTGGTACCCCATCCATCAGCGGCCATTACTAAGTGCTGGGCTGCCTACGTAACCCAATGCCCTAACAGTTGTAAATTAAGGGAACTTGCCTCGTTAAAGTGTGATGACGTTGAGTCAGTTGTGGACGAGAGCCCCTCCAACTGATCCAAACTCCACTTACAGTCGTCTCCGCCCAACTTCCCAACTTGCCTTTTGTCATTCTTACGTAGGAGTCGTTTGGAGACTTTGAAACAATTCATGAAGTCAAATCTCTATCATTTATTGATACAATTGAGAGTAATATGTTTCAAATTACTGATCGATATTAAAATGAGAATTCATTGAATAATGCGAGGAGGCATCTCAAAAACGAAAATCCAATACGGTGCATCACACAACTTTCAAGGGCCTTATATTATGTATTTCCGTTGAATTATATTAGTTTTCTTTCATATAAATGAAGGGAGGGGAGGGGGTGTCATGCAATTCAAAAACATGAACCCCCCTTCCACTTGAAAAAAATAATGAATTTAATAAAGGAAAAGAATACATGAAAACATTGTAGGGGTCAATTACTTTAAATATTAGGCTATCCAGAAATTAATGCAAGTTTATGGTTTTCAAATAAAATACTCTCTCTTCTCTCTTCTCTCTCTAATCTCTTCTTGTTATTTTTTGTTTTTGTATTTAAGTGATTTTGGTTTTTCTGCCCTGATGATGTCTGAATTAGCGAAACCTACTCAAGTTAACTATTAACGATGGCTTTGTAGTTTGGATTTTTCCATTTATAACATAATAACCTTTTGTCTTTCTTCTAGTTTTATGCTTATTTTAGTATCTTTCTATACTATCTGAAGTGCCCAAATGTTCAAAGAGACATTCTTCTCCATTTGCCATTTAAATCTATTTTTATTTTGTCAAAGACAACCATAAATAGCAATATTTTAATTTTTATCTAATAAACTAAGCATGTACCCCATAGCAACCAAAGCATTTCAGATGTTTTTTACAAAAACTACTATTTATCTAAAAAAACGATACATTTTCGGAAATTAAAACATAATCCCGATAGTTTCACTGAAACTATACCAGATCTGGATATCCGCTTCAATATATTTAAAACACAATTTATCCTTTCTCGATTCGTCGACTTTTGGATACATCGTTCAGTTTTGAACTCTCTTAAGTTTTTGAATGCCTGATATTGTATTTGTAGTAAGGTCTTAACTTTTGAAATTGGCATTTGCCACTTCTCCATAAAATTGCTTTTCATTTGATCCCTACTAATTCATCGTTCTTGAGAGCCAGAAAAAGAAATCTACGCTAACAGTATTATTCTATACCAACATATCAAACAGTAGAATGCATTTAGTACAGTACAAACTTGTCTGCATCTTCTGTTTCAGCGTTGAGGAAAATTCTTAAATTTATAAAGTCCATGCTTCTGTTCTATAAATCGGATTAAGATTTCCAAGGCAAATTTAATATATACTAAGACGTTAAAAAAGAAAAGCAAAAAGAAAAAAAATCTAATTTTTGTCTAAAAGATGAAGTGTTTCCCTGCTTCAAACCAATGAGTAAAAGAGAAGGAGGTCCATTACCCACCACAAAATGGAGGTTGTTCAACGGATCCCACGAAGTGCTGAAGCTGTCCGATAAATTCCATTTAATTGGGAATAAGCTTCGTAATCAAGGAGCCTGTGGATTCCCACTGTTTAGTATTAATGGGACAATATTCGGGTTCTGGGCCAGGGATTATTTTACGTTAATACGATTCGGGCTTTGGCAGCTTGTTTGTTTTTTAGTATGGCCGTAATTAAATATTATAAAAAGACATATAAATTTTCAGTTTATAAAAATGAGTTTAGTTCAGGGATCGAAAATACGAGTTAACTTTTATTTTGAAAGAAGTTTAAGTAAACTTATACTTTGTTTCGTCTTACATAAAGTTTTTATTGAACTTGAACTTTTTCAATGTGATAAAGCTATTTTAAAACTTTCATCCAAATAACTTGTTAAATATAAGTTTACAACAAACAGTTATTCCGAAACTTATTCATAAAAGGTTTTTAGGAAAAAAATGTAATCTCTACAATATATTTTTTATATATTTTGTACAATGATAAAACAAAAAAAAAATAATCAGAAATGCGAAAATTGAAAAATCATTGTTGTCTTCGTCATACTAAAACCCTCAAAATAAACACCGGTATGTGAAAACATTCACTCACTCATCTCCTGTTATAAGAAATTTTATAATCCCAACCAATTGCAAATAAAAAGTTGTTGAACTCAAATTTTTATTTTATTTTTCCACAAAGTTTGGATAAACCTTGAACCTTGTAGAAGTTTTTTTATTATAAAGGTATAATCTTCATTATCTGAGGGTTATAATCTTCATTTATTGAGGGTTGTTACCGATAGAACTATGGTCAATGAATTTTCAGTAGGGACTGTACCATTTTATTAACAATTAATTCTTGTTATTTATAGTACACGTTATCTAGGAAAAATTATTTTTATTTTTCTGCTTCTATAGTATGTCCAAAAAAAGGACGATTTTATGAAATATAACATTCCTCGTGCTGTTCCGCATAATAAATCATAAAAGGAAATTTAAAGTAACTAGTAAAATACTTTTATTTGTACCCTTTTATGGTAATAAACTCGTGAGAAATAGTTGTAATGTTACAAAAAATTAAAAATTAGTGGTGTTGATAATGAAATAAACCTCTATAAAACATAAAAGGATGAGCCAAGCTTAATAAATGTTATATCCAGAAAGTAATAATTGTTTCCTGGCGATCTTAGATGATTCAATTCATGTAAATTAATTCACATTAATTACACAAATATGAACCAGAGTAGAGGCTGAAAAAAAATAATGGTTATCTTTGTAATAAATGAAACTGTTAACATCTTTTTTTTTTTTTTTTTTTTTTTTTGTCTTACATATTTAAATTATGTAGCTTACTCAACTCAGATAAAAGTGAAAATAAAAAATCATAAATTAAAAGCAACACAGTTCGTATAGATGAAGAGAAAATTCATTGTATCGAAATGGTGCTTTGTAGATGTAGCCTTTCAGTCGACGCCACTTTAAAATAATTACTTATAATGTAAATTAATTAAACATAAATTATTATACATGATCATCCAGCAATATTATTATGCTCTTAGGTGATTCCTATTAATTATTTCATGGGTCTTATCTTGGAGGGATTGTAAACATATAATGTTCTATTTCAGTAAATAGAGGATATAGAGACTGAGAATGTCTGTAAGGATGAGATTCATGAAAATAAGCTTATTTTTATGAGGCAGCGTTCATGTTAATTTTTTTTAAACTTATATAAATTGACATCCGTTCTGTTTGCTATCGTGCATGCTGGCTGGATAAACAAATGTTTGTTGTATAATATTACAAACACTTTACGGATTAATGGTATGGGTATGTAATTTAGTGTTATACTAGGAGCAAGAGATGAGCTATAAGATGGAAGTATCAGACCATAGATTTTATAAACTTTGTATCTGTATTACAATTACCCTATAATATCCTACAGTTTTGTTTTTTGAAATTTTTCCCATCCCTAAAAACACCCCACCACACTCCTATTATTTTATTCTGCCATTTTATTTATGTATGTTGTTATTTATAATTATTTTTATTATTTGTCTGAACTACAGTGAGCGGAATCCCCTCTCAACTCCTAAATCACAAACAGAACCTGCAATGAGAAAGTATACCAACCATTTTATGCAGCATCACACCTTCAAATACCGAAAGGTAGAAAAAATTTCAGTTAATCAATCTATCGTTTCAATATTACAATGCCATGATATATCTCTAATTTGCTGTATTCTGTTTCAGAGGGATCGGAACAAAAAAAAAAAAAAAGATTAAAATTTATTGAGTTTTGACAAACTAGATAGAAATTCTACATGTTCATTTTGTTAGATTTTTATTTTTTTGTTTTCACAGCAAATTTTTTATTTATTTTTTCTGAAATACCATGCTACAAAATTTGGTCAAATTCTAATGCACCATTAAAAATAATTACTTTGTGTTATAACTTACCTATAACAGTAAGATTTATTTTGTAGTTTCTTGTTGGAGAAGTTTTGAAGTCAACTCTGCATCTGTATATCGCTTCGTCGCGTTCTTCGACGTTGTCGATGGTAAGGGTAGGGGGTTCTGTTCCAATCCTGAAGTAGGATCGCTCTTCGAGAATGGCGTCATTCTTCCAGTGTATACCCGTCTCGGGGCTTTTGCCGCGACGGTCCACACTATGAAACATATAAGAAGTGGATTAGTTGAGAACTAGATACAAATAGAAACATGTTTAATGATTATTTTATATAAAAATATGTTCATAGTAACAAAAAAGTATATGTTACAAACAAAACATTTAACGAACTTTAAACTGCAATAAGGAATCACTCCAGATCCAAAATGAGCGTACATATGGCGTTCAAGTAATTTAAAAAAACAAAAAACATATTCATTGACATTTACCACTGAGTCGATTAAAAATACAAGTAAATGTAAATTGGTAATATGACATGTACAGACATGCAGAGGAACTACCCCTTGGTAGCACATCAAAAATAGTTCTATATTAAGAGGTCCGGAGGCAATCACACGCTGAGGAGAGATTGAAGAGGAAGTAAACTATCTAACCTTAGAAAGCACAGGCATATCTACGGAAAGGGGCCCTTCTGTCTGAAGTCCCTCCCACCCCAAAAAAAGGTGAAGTATAACCATGTAATATGGAAAAAAATATGAATACATTATATCTTAAAGTATTATTGTTCGTGTAATTACATTTATTAGGACTTCAAAAATCACTTTAACACCATTTCATATAGGTGGTTATTTTTTTTTTCAATGTAATTACCGTTATGTACAGGAAAAAAAAAACTTTTGGGCTGAAGCCCCCAAAATTAAATCCTGAATCCGCTAGTGTTAGAAAGCATTGAGTTTGGATGGGCCTGAACTTTATTATGGAAGGAAAGGTATCTGGATTGAGCTAAATCGGCAACATATAGAACATTAAGGTCATTACTGATAATTTTATTTGTGAAAAAGTATGGAGCCATGGAGATTTTGCGAAGGAATTTGAAGCCAAAGATGTTTTAAATTTAAATAATAAAGCTGATCACTTCCCGAATTGTAATAACAAACAGGCATCGAAGAAGTTACTGTTTCAATCTTCGGGGAGGATTACAGAGATCGTTAAAACCAGATGGCCTGTAATATAATATAATTGACTGAGTAGAGTAACTTTAGGCTCGTCTCAGAAAGCTCTTACAATGTAGACACGTTGGGCCATCGTTTAGAAAAACCCAAATCGCTAGACTGTCTTTGATACCAAAATCGCGCAAAGGTCTACTAGTTTGTATGTTTGTTTGTTTCGATGTCTAGGCCCAAAACATCCAGGTCATAAGCGCCCGATCAACTAAATAACATCATTTAATACTATTTGGATGATTGGTACAAAAAAATAAAATAAAAAAAAAATAAAACAATAAAATAAAAAATTAAAAAAAATAATAAGAAAATAAAAAATAAAATAAAATAAAATAAATAAAGAAATGGATTGATAGAATAAAATAAATAAATAAGGATAATAATGGACATTTATAGGTAATAAGATGTATAAAAAATGTATAAATAAATAAACTTTAAAAAATAGCAGTAGAATCAATAAATGAATTGAGATTAATAAACAAATGAATTTAAAATGAAATGAAATCAAGTGAAAAAATAAATAAATAAATAATAATAGGAGAAAATATAATAAAAATAAATAGATAAAAAAAATTAATAAATAAAAAAATAAATAAAAAAAGCCTGTCAAATGTGTTTTTTAAGTCTTTCACTATCCAGGAACTTGATGACTTTGGTAACGATTTCTTCTTGATTTCCCAGAGATGCTGATATATTCTGGGGTATTCCAAAATCTTTTAATCTTGCGGTGTAAAAAGGGCATTCTTCCAAAATATGTTTTATAGTTAGTGATTGGTTACACTTTTGACATCGGGGGATAGAATCTTTTGTTGTGAGGTGGAGGAGAGTCAGTCTAGTATGTCCGATCCTCAGCCGCGTGAGTACGACCTCTTCTCTACGACTGCTGCGTCTGGAGCTGGTCCACGGTTGCACCTCTTCCTTTATTGTTTTTGATTTGCTAGGTGCGCTGTTATCCCACCGTCTTTGCCATTCTTGGAATATGGTTTCTCTCAGAGGTCGTGCAAGTTCAGATGGTGTCAAAAAAACTTTACCGCGTCCTGGAAGAGTAAGAGCTTCCTTTGCTGCTCTATCAGCCATTTCATTTCCTTTAATTCCTATATGGCCAGGCGACCAGATAAAATGTGCCGTTGTTCCAACTCCATGAAGCATTTTTATAAGACTTAGAATGCAGTGTATCCCTGGATGGTCTGGATACATGTTATTCATAGCTTTCAGAGTACTTAGGGAATCCGATGCAACAACCACATTTGCAACTGGCTTCTTCATGACGTATCGGAGACTCATTGCTACGGCGTTAATCTCTGCTGTGTAAACACTACAAAGATGGTGTAATTTATACTTGTAGGTAGTATCAGGAGTGACAAAGGCTGAAGCAGTAGATGTATCTGATTTGGATCCGTCGGTGAATATTAGAAGATGTTCAGGTAACGTGATGATTATTTTGTGGAATTTTTCTTTGTAATCTGCAGGTAATGTAGTATCTTTGGTGAATTGGGTGAGTTGGAGATTTAGGTGTACTAGTATGGACTTGGCTTAATACGATTTTCTTTAACTACAAGAACGAAATGCCTAAAAAAAAAAATAAATAAAATAAATATAATAATAATTGCAGGATAAATAATACTAAAAATGAAGTTATTTGAAATAAGAATTGTTTAGTTAGTAAATAATTTTGATTTACCCTATAAAATATTCATAATAAAATCAATTTTAATTAAATTTATTTATTGCGACTAAAAGTTTTATGCGCCTTAGCTTACTGTAATATATAGCTACTTTATTTTTTATTTTTATATAAATTAGGCCAATTATTACCAAACCTTTTATTGATGCGCTATTTAATTCGACGTTTCTGGAGGGATTGACTTATAAGATTTCATTAGTCAGTCCCTCCAGAAATGACGTAGGTGAAATCCCTATAGACCAAGACAATTTAATGTTCACTGAACATATTATTTGCGACATTAATGATGAATATATAACGGAGGACTCATAAAGACTTGAAAATGACCCTTAGAATGGTCGAAACGTCGAATTAAATAGCGTATCAACAAAATATTTGGTGATAATTGGCCTAACTTATATAAAAATAAAACCTCAAGACATCAAAATTAGGATCAGTGAACAGATGAACTACTTTAGTTTATTTTATTGGCCAAAGTTCGGTTGAGTGGTATCATTTGATTAATAAAAACTAAAAACATAAAATATCGGGCTGAAGGTTCATTAAAGAAGAACAAATTAAATTGAATCAAATTATAAAGAAAAAAATAAAGGAAGGCAATATAATATAAATTTAAATGGTAACTTTAGGTAACAGATACTGCACTCTAGCGGCGAATGCCAGATCACAGTTCTTCAGTATTCCAATAGATAGTGTTGGCGTGTTTCTACAGCTTAAAATTGTTTATTATTATATTAAAATTCAAAGCATTACTGAGGGAACATTCTTATTGCTAATTATTTTATGACTTAATTGAATTATTTTGAAGTTTTATTTTAAAAGAATATATTACAATAGTATTTTCTCGTTAATGTGTTGTATATTATAAAAAGTGTGCTATATGTATTTAAAATATTTTATGTTGTATAACGTACATTATCTTATTTATTTTTCTAATACAAACTTGGATAATTATATTTTTAGAACTGAACTCCATTGCATAATTTTGTGAATAAAGTTATAATGTTATTATTTTAATTCTTAGAAAAAAAATAGTGCTATGTCATTTTTATAAAAACTGGTTGCACTAATAAAGGTTAAAATCTATCAGTATTAATAAATTTCTTCTGTAAGTTTAGTGAAATGTTCTAACAAGGCTTCACATTATGAATCAAATGTTATTCTTAACCGAGATTCAATCGCATTAGATTTTTTTTTTTTCAAGATCTGTAAATATTGGACTAACAAAAAAAATTATATTTTTATATGACAGACATATTTAAAAATAATCTGGGACCCAATGTCATAACTTATACTTACCACTCTACCTTGAGTAGAAATAATTATTTTCATACATAGCGAAGCGAAAGTAAAAATTACAGACTGCACGACATATTATTTAAAACAATTAATTACCATATGTATTTCCCATCCGCCTAATACGTTAAATGTCATATGTTTTTTGTCACCAACCATTTCCTTCTACGACTGTATAATTTAATTGTAATATATAATTATGTGCCACTATTTTTTTTTTCTATTCCGACAAGAGTACTATTAATAAAGGAGGCAGCTAGATTTATTTATATTGTATTGCTTATTTTTATTTGTTTAAATACTGGTATATATACAAACTTTGATTTTCATAATCTATCCATTTAAATATAAAATATGAAAAAATTATGAAAACCGTGCATGTAAGTTTATAATGTATGATATTTTCGGATCCCGGACGTTTTACACATAAGATATATCATTTTACGCATTATTATTTTAAATCTGTCCTAACATTACGGCCCAAGTTGTATACGCGCACGGGTGTCTTCAGTACCACATTACCATCCAATATTTCTCTTTTAGTTCATTATCAAATTCTTTAATAGTTTATATTTAACCTGGTTTTATTACTGGTTGCAATATAAAATAGTTAATTAATTTAAATAAACAAAATCAAAGGTACTTTAGCGGGGAAAAAATTTGAAAATTCGGCATTTAGGCAAGTATTTCAGACTATTTCTGAAATTTCAGACTATTTCTATGTTAGTAATACCAGCCTAATATTTTAAAAAACCTAATTTTACACTGATGTAATGAACTTAATGGAAATTGTTGGAGTCATTTATAAGAAAAGCGTAAAAATGTGTATATTCGATGATATTAAGTGTCACTTCTGGTTACTCCATTTTGGTGAAAAAGTTGCTGTCACATCCGCGAAATATAAATTTCTTAAATACGTAATTTCAATTTCGTACAGATTTTAATTTTCGAGTAACGCAGAGACCATTTTACGAAACTTGGTTATTTGGATTCAGGGGACCTCAAACGTGTATTTCCGTTATAATAGAAAATATTTTTCCTTACTACATATTTCGTATATAGTTGAAGTAAAAATATCAATTCAACTTTTGATAGTTAGATAAAGGAAAATTGGACT